TTTGCAAAGGGGCCGGGGAAGGCGAAGAGGCTTGAGGCAGGTGGCCCTGGCCAGTGAGAAAGCGGGAGAAACCGCTGCAGCTGGCTGCTCCGTTCCCAGCAGGACTGGAGCCTCCCACTGAGCTGGTACATGGGACCCACTTCTCAGCCCTTCCCACTCCACCACTCCCCCTGGCTACATGGTGTGCCCAGGAGTGAGGTGCCGGGCACGAGAAGCAGCATCTCACCACTTCTGCTACCCCATGCTACGAACCCTCGTGACCACGGCCCAACAGCCAGACCACACCCCTGTGCCATCGGGCAGCACAAAGAAACTGGCTTAAGTGGCAATAAACCACTTGCATCAAGAACCCATGAATCTGGGAGCCAGCAGGTAGCATGGTGGTTAATGGCGCTGGACTCTCACATGGCCTAGCCTATCATGGCTCAAGTCCCAGACTTGGTGGCTTGCTTTCTCACTTCTCTCCTCTGGTCAGGTATAAACAAGCAAACAAACAAACAAACAAATAAATAAATAAATAAATAAGAACCCATGAGTCTGTCACAGAGGGGAGGGTCCCTAATGGGAGACTGGAGCCAGAAGGAGAGAGACGGGGGTATGCTCAGGAAGGAAATCTGGGCTGGCCTTACCCTACAGGCCTGTGCCCCAGCCTCCTCCAGAGGCTCTCAGACAGATCCAGAGGAGATGGGCAGTCTCTGCAGCCATCAGGATCCAGAGGAGAAGGGGAGGCTGTTGTTAGCCCGACAAGTGGGCCGGATCTGCAGGCTGGCTAAGCCTGCGGTCAGGGCAGTGGGAGACCACCCCATGGATTGCTGCTTCCTGCTCATGGCCGGCCAGCCGCTGACTGCACTAGCCTGGGTTCCCGTGGCCTGAGCACCCCCAGGGTTTGAGCCTGCTCTCCAGACTCTGCCCTAGAACCCTGGGCTCTGGCACCACTGCCCTGTCGGCTGGAAGGAGCCAGGGCTCCAAGTGAGGGAGCCATGTACATGCACACAGGCAGGGCTGTCACCTGAGAGCAGGTCCGCTCTTCACCCAGGCCCCTGGGGCTAGGTTTTGAGTTCAGAATTTTCGGGAGCAGTCAGGGCAAAGACTAATCCCTAGAGGAACAGCTCATAAAACACAATTTCTTCAACATATACTCAGATAATTACCTACAACTTCCTATTGCTGTGGGTTCAGGTCAGGTTTTGGTGTCAAGTAAGTTAGGGAAATTCGTGTGCTTTTTAGAGGGTTGGGACTTCGGAACTGAGGGCCTGTGCATCCTCTCCGGGGGAAATAGGCTCAGGTGCCGTCTCGGCAACTCCATAGCCATACAAGTCTCCGTCTTCCGCAAACCAAGAAAACCGGACGCCAGAGGTCAGAACGGGTCTGTTATTGATACATCTGCATTGATTTAAATACATTACGTACAGTTTCTACAGTGCATTGGAAGAACACGGGCAGCGGTGCGCTCACAGCCCAGCCTCTCCTCCCGCTGCTGGGGGACAGGGCCTACGGCTGGCTGAGGGACAGCGTTCTGGGAGTGCCACCCAGAAACCTGCCCTGGCACTCAACCCCTGGCTCTCCCAAAGTCCACATTCAAGGCAACCTGAGTACAGGCTTTGAGGGAGAGGACTCAGGCCAGGAAAGGGCACCCGTGCTCCTGCCGGCCAGGCCCGGATGGCTCCCTCTTACGTTGGACCCCATTTCCTGCTCATAGAGCTGGTCTGGACCAGGACCATGTGCAGACCTGGCTTGGCTGGGTGGAGCCACCAGCTCCTCAAGACTCCTTGGGCTCTCTGGGAGCACCCAGGCAGGAAGCTTTACTGCACTGTCACGGTGTCTACAGAGAGCTACACACACCTGCGTGCCCTCTGTTCCCGTGGTCGGGATGCAGAGATTCTCGTAAGCAAGGCCAGGTCCAGGTCGGCTGGACGGGATTGTCAGGGCTGGGGCAGGGGGCTGTGTCCACAGGACATGCATATCCAGCCCTCAGGGACTTCTGTCAGCTGGGTGGAAGCCCAGGACAGGCACGCTCCTCGGGGCTGACCATCTCTGCACTGCTGCCTTGATGGCGGGAGCAGGGCAAGCAGACACAGCCTCACTTGAGGACATAGTCCTCACTCCCTTTCTTTGGTTGGTTTTCAAACCTGCAGGATAGTTTCCTCCCAGGGCTGATTGACCCTTCGCGGGATGCCAGAACAGTTAAGTGTCCAGTAGCGTGGAGCATGAGCACAGCTGCTGCCAGGCCACAGGTGGCACCCTTTACACCCTCCTGAGGCCATTCTTTGCTTTGGTGTAGAAAGGGCTCACACCTGGCAGGGGGCAGCTGGGGGAAAGACACATGGAAGCAGGAGAAGCACACCGCATGGGCAGGCACGGGGGTCTGAAGGCCTCTCCTTTGGGCCCTGCCTCTCAGGAAGCCACGGAGATGCCAGCCTTGGACAAGAAGTCAGGAAGCAAAGGGAAACTGCCAACCAGGAGGCAGAACACAAGTCCTGCCACTACCACCAAGCAGCAGGGGCAACAGGTAAGACTGTCCAAGGACCATTATCCTGTCTGCTCATGAGCCAAGACATGCCCCAGAACCCTTGTAGAGACTTAACCAGGGCCTGAACTCCTAGGCTAAGAGTTGGGAGAATTTTTTTAAAAACGGAAACAGATTAGAGGACAGGGACCCAGGACTCAGGAAGCAAGGCTGGGATAAGTTCACCCACAAACCAGTCATGGCTCCCAGCACACACTCAGACGCTATGGATGGCGCTTACATGCTGGAAGTCAACTTCCTATTAAAGTAGAAGGCTAAGATTGGCCCCTCCTGCCTCTGCTCAAGTCACAGGTGAGCTACAGCAGGGCGGAGGGTCCCCTGGGACCGTGGGGAGAAGAGCCTCCCTGCCGGGAGAGCTGTGTGCAGAGGCCTGCAGCTAGTCCACCGCACAGGTGGGACGAGAGGGGAAAGGAGGCTTGGTGAAGACCCAAATGAAAGGTGTGGCTTCTGCCTGCCCCAGCACTGTGAGTCACCCAGGTGCTTTCTGACAGCTTTGTTGCCCGGGAGTACACAACTGTGAGGCCCCCAGATGTCTGCATCTATGCAAACTTAGGCCTGGACTAACGGTTTCTGATGTGAGAGGACCTGGGGTTCTGCTACAAGCATTGAAGTTTGTTTTTGTTTTTGTTTTCTGATGCAGAATATAACAGGGACTCGCAACAGAGCAGGGTGTCAGGAAGGGAAGGACCTCCCCAGCTTGCTGCCAGGAGAGGCTCCTTCCCAGCGTCGGGACTACCCACATGAAGCGCCAGCCTCCCCGGCACTCAGGAGGGCTCAGAAACACCGACTGTCCTGATTGTGCTTCTCCCCGTGGGGGGAAAGCCCTGAGGGGCGGTGAGCAGACGGAGGGCCTTCAAGGTGTTACTCTCCACCGGCTTCCCTGGCTTCTCCTGCGCCCACTCCCCAGGCATCCTCCCAGCCTGAGTCTCAGACAGTACTGGCTTTGCCCGCCTCTCAGGCTACCACCAAGAGAAGAAGGGCTTCCGACTCTGAAAGCTCTGTGTGTAGGACTCGCTAGCAGACCGCTGGTGAGAACGGGCCGTCTCGACAATCACGGGTGGCATCTGGACGAGGTGCAGGGGACTCTTGTTGTCTTTCAGGGCCTGGGTCAGATTCAGTATCTAGAGTGGGAAAAAGAAGATGGGTGAGGGACAGGTTTGCCTCTGAAGGGAGACCAGCAGACAGAGCAGTCCTGTAAATTCATACAACGGGACAAAAGACACACAGCTATTGACAAACACGGGAATACAACTGGGCAAAAAGCAGGGAATGGGATCCCTTCTCCAGCCATTTTAGAAATACAAACGAAGGGCCTGCAGGTGGTGTGGTGATTGAGGCACTGCCTCCCACATGGCTAGCTATGCAGACCTAACGGTTTGAAATACCGAGAGGAAAATGGAGAAGGGACTGTGGAGTAGCCCCGCCGGGGGTGCTTTCTCACTTTTCCTCTCTTTCTCTGTCTCTCTACAAGTACATGCCCCCTATAGCAAAATTACAAAAAGGAAAGACAAGACCTCCTATTTTTGCCCTTCTGGTCAGTGCAGATACAGCAGATGACGTCTTAGAGTTGGGAGAGTCCACAGAAACAGGCACTCCCCTACAAAGCCATGGGGCTGGGAAGTGGGATGGTCTTTGACAGGCAAGTCAATAATAAAAGTTTACAAACAGGTGGTATGGTGGTCAGGGGCACTGGACTCTCACATAGCTGACCATGGTTCAAGTCCCGGACTTGGTGGGCTTGCCTTCTCACTTTCCCCCTCTCTCTCTCACTCTTGTCCCTCTCTGGTCAAATTTAAATAAATAAATAAAGTTAAATCAAATAATTAAAAAAAAAATAAAAGCTTACAAATAAACACTCTGACTCAGCAATTCCATCTTTAAGGACTGAGGATATGCATGAAACACTTAGTTTCAGAAATTACAATGCAGTATGGTTCATACCAGTGAACATGACCTTTAACTTAATGGCATAAATCAAATTAGTTATAATTTAGGAGATAAGAAATAAAATAATTAAAATATATAAAAAGAAATGTATTGGTGGGCCAGTCAGTAGTGTGGTGATGAAAGTGGCTGGATCCCATATGGCTAATCGCATGGTTGACTCCTACCTGGTGACTTGAAAAAACACACACACACTGGGCACATGTGCATGTGTGCTTAGAATCCCATGAGGGAAGAGAAGGGACTGTAGCATGACCATCCCCCATCGGGGTGCTTTCTCACCTTCCCTCTCTATCTCTCTCCTGTAAGCACATGCACCCCCTGACAAATTTAAAGGAAAACAAAGCTGGGCTTTAACCCTATCCTAGCTGGGTCTTCCTGAACTTCCTTTGGTTCTTTGATTTAGCAACCTTCTCTTGTGATATGTTAAGTATGTGGAAAAAAGTCAAATTAACTACAACTCACTCTTTTTCTTTTTTTAAAGAATGATTATTTAATTTTATTTATTATCATTATTTAATTCACCAGAAAGAGACAAAGAGAGAGAGAGAGAGAGGGAAAGTGAAAAAGTAAGCCGCCAGGTCTGGGACTCAAACCACAGTCGGCCATGTGGGAGTCTAGTGCCTCAACCACCCTGCCACCTGCTGGCCCCAACAACTCATCTTCAACAGATTTGGCCAAAACAAAACAAAACAAAACAAAACAAAACAAAACAAAAACTATCCAGGTAGAAAGAGAAATTATATAGATATATAGATATTATTCAGATAGATGGATAAAAAATAGATATACTTGGATAAAAAATAGATATACTATTAAACAAATGTAGTTAAATGTAACAGTGAATCTAGAAGACTCTACCAACGTGACTGAAATCTGCAATGTTTCAAAGTTGAAAAAAAAAATGCATACAGGCACTTAATGCTAAAGAATAAATGCCATCTTTAAAAATGATATTTTAGGGGACCAGCAGGTGACATGGTGGTTAAGGTGCTGGACATTACCACGTGGCTGACCACAGTTTGAGTCTTGGACCTGGTGGCTTACTTTCTCACTTGCCCTCTCTCTCTCAGTGTGTCTCTATCTGGTCAAATTAAAATAAATGAATGAATAAATAAAATAATTTTTTATAATGTTATTTTAAAGAGGCTTTCCCTGGGACCTGCAGATGGCATAATAGTTATGTCGCTGGACTCTCACATGGCCAACAATTGTTCAAGTCCCAGACCTGGAGGCTTGAAACTCATGTCAGGCTCGTGTGTGTATGCCCAAAATCCCAGGAGGAGAATGGAGACGGGACTGTGGTGTGGCCATCCCCCCAGGGGATGATTTCCCACTTTATTTCTATCTCTGATGAGTGCACATGCCCTAATAGCAACAATCTCTCTCTCAAAAAAATTTTTTTAATTTAAATAAATAAAGAGGCTTTCTTCCCTCAGACCCTGGATTCATTATCTAGCTCCTGTCAGAAGCCTTGTGGAAAGTAACGATGTCTACCACCTCGTGCTGTCCCTCCAGGTCCTCTTCGCTCTCCTCCTTAGGCTCCCCTTGTATAGGGCAGAGACTCAGCCTCTCTGGTGCATGAACAATAGACAACTAAAGGTGTGACCAATATACAGGCCAAATGCATGTTGGGAGGAGCTGGATATTCATGGAACCTGAGATGTTAGGAGCACGCTGAGGTGCGGAGAGGCCAAAGCCTCTGTGAAGACATTAAGAGCTCAAGATGGAAAGAAAGAAAAACTTGCATTTCCTGCACCCTCCCTTCCCTTTTGCCACCTGGGATAATGGCCCTGATGGGGTAAAATAGGAAGGGGGCTACTGCAGTGTCGGCAAGGCACTGAGCTGGAAAGGGATTGGGGAAGATAATGCCATATGGACGGGGCCCAGCCCACATAAACCTAAGAAGCATGTTTATCCTTTAGCCTGAGTTCCAAAATACCAGAGTACTTCAAGTGGCTTTGAAGGTTTCCAAAAATTCTTCCAGCCTAATAGGGTGATCACATTACTTGGAAAATGCTGGAAAACCATGTTACTGGTATTCAGGCAGCTATAGTAATTACAGCTCTTAAAAATCTCTGCCCACTGGGACCAGCAGATGGTGCTGGACACTCCCACATGGCCAACCTCAGTTTGAGTCCCAGAACTGGTGGCTTGTTTTCTCACTTTTTTCCTTCTCCCTCTATGGTCAAATTAAAATAAATAAATAAATAAAAATTAATTAAAAAAAAACTCTGCACATCCCATTTCCAAGGAAAAATGTGCTCAGCAACCCAAGAGCCACTATGACCTATTGGTTAAGGTGCTAGAGTCCTACACAGCTGACTGTGATTTGAGTCCCCGATCTGGTGGCTTGCTTTCTCACTTTCCCTCTCTCTGGAGAGTGCATGTGCCTGATAGAAAATTTAAAGAAAAAATAATAATAAGTAAAATTAAATAAATAATTATTATTTTTAAATTGCCTTCTTTGAAAAAAATAAGACTCCAGTGAAAATCAGAAGCCAGTGCTCTAGAGAGGTTTTGAACCATTTTCCAAGCATATTCTTTTTTTTTTGGATGTGTGTGCTCGCCAGAAAGAGAGAGACAGAAAGTAAGAAATCACCCTCCAGGGGAGATGGCCATGCTACAATCCCTTCTCTTGGGATCTCGGGCACACACGCACATGCACCTGGCGTGACTCAAACCACATCTGGGACTCAAACCATGGTCAACTACATGGGAGTCCAGCAACATAGCCATTACGCCAACTGCTGGTCCCCCAAGCCTATTCTTCTTTTTATTTTCTTTTCTGTTTTTTTCTTAAGAGAATTATTTTATTTATTATTACTGTTATTTTATTAAACTTGTTATAGGGCATGTGCACTCATTAGAGAGAGAGAGAAAGTGAGAAAAGCAAGCCACAAGGTCCAGGATGTGAACTATAGTTGCTCATGTAGGAGTACCTTAACCACACCACCTGCTGGCCCTTTGTAAAGGTTTTTGCCATAGTGCATGTTGCCTCATGCACTCAACAGAGACAGACAGAGAGGAAATCTGGGAAATCAGCCTCCAGGGCCATGCCGCAATTCCTTCTCTCAACCACCAAGGCATATGGCCTGCCTTGCGCAACTTGAAGACAGAGCACTAGCTTACTCACCAATGAACTGGTGCACAGATAAGCCCCTAGAAAGTTCTGTGCCTACCACAGAAGAGGCGGGAGGTCTGGGAGAGTTATCTTTCCTCTCCCAGGTATTACGGATAGTCACAACTATGTATGGCACAGACTGAAAAGAAGGTAAAACACAACCTTTGCATATTTGCTTAAAATGAACATATAACCTTCCCAGAGTGGGCCCAAAAAGAGACCTGGAGGATGTCCTGGACCTACCTGTCCCCGCATCACAGCAATCTGCTTATGGAACTGGCCCCTGTCGAAACCAGGATCTTTCTGCAAAAGAAGAAAGGAAGGACATAGGACCTGTAAGAATGACTCATAGGAAATCATTTCCTCCCATTAGAAATGTTCTAATAAGGGGCTAGCAGGTGGCATGGTCGTTGGGGTGCTAGACTCTCACATGGCCAAGTGCGGTTCAAGTCCTGGACCTGGCAGCTTGCTTTCTCTCTCTCTCTCTGATCAAACTAAATAATGATAATAATAAATAAAGTTAAATACATAATTCTTTTTTCTTTTTGGAGAGGTTTTGCTATTGGGTGCGTGCACTCGCCAGAAAGACAGAAAGAGACAGAGAGACAAAAATCAAGAAATCACCCCTCGGGGGGGATGGCCATAATGCAATCCCTTCTCCTCCATTCTTCTCTCGGGATCTTGGGCACGCATGCACATGCACCCAGTGTGAGTTTAAGCCACTGGGTCCGGGACTCAAATTGTGGGTGACTACATGGGAGTCCAGTGACACAGCCATTATACCAACTGCTGGTCCCAATAAATAATTCTTTAAAAAAATGTTTCTAATAAAGAAGACCTACTGGGAACCAGCAGCTAGCATAATGGCTATGTCGCTGGACTCCCACGTAGTTGACCGCGGTTCATGTCCCGGACCCGGTGGCTTAAAACTCACGCTGGGCACGTGTGCGTGCGTGCCCAAGATCCTGAGAGGAGAATGGAGGAGAAGGGATTGCGGCATGACCATCCCCCCTGGAGGATGATTTACCACTTTCTGTCTCTATGTCCCTCTGTCTGTCTGGCGAGTGCACGCGCCCTGTAGCAAAAACCTCTCTCAAAAAAAAAAAAGACCTACTGAGGCTTATAAGGTGTGGTGAAGTCAACTATCACACTACAAATTCCCTGCTTTACACAGTTTGAGTCCCGGGAACAGAGACAAGAAAGAGGACAAGTGGGAACCAGCAGTTAGCGTAATGGCTAAGTCGCTGGACTCCCAAGTAGTTGACCACGGTTCCGGACACGGTGGCTTAAAACTCATGCCGGGAGCGTGTGTGTGCGTGCCCAAGATCCCAGAGGAGAATGGAGGAGAAGGGATTGCAGCGTGACTATCCCCTCTGGGGGGTGATTTCTTGCTTTCTGTCTCTATGTCTCTCTCTGTCTGTCTGGCAAGCGCACGCGCCCTACAGCGAAAAAACCTCTCCAAAAAAAAAAGGACAAGTAAACGTGAGGAGCTACGCCCCGAACTCCAGGGTCCAGTGCACTCTTATGAATGAGAGCTCTGCAGGCCCCACCGCAGCCGGGGCACACAGGGAGCACACCATGTGACCCATCGCAGTTTCCCACTTCTTCAGATCCATTCAAACCCAGTCCTGTGTCCACTCGTGGCAACCTTACTGTCCACTGGCTAACTTGGTGCTAGCCACTCCCTCTCGGCTGGTGTCAGGACCACTGAGAGACTGTTAGGAATTCCTTCTTCCATGCAATAGTAAGGTTGACGCTCCAGTGCTAACCTTGAAGAGTTCATACAGGTCCTCCTCCAAGTCCTTGACGAAGTTAGGGTCCGATATCTTTGGAAGAATCAGATCTTTGATCTCCTGAGAGAATGGGACTTTTGCTTGGGGCAGCCAGGCCCAGTAAAAAGGATCTGCAAGGAAGAAAGGGCAAAAGCGAGGCCGAAATTGGAAGGGTCCCTGCTTGTCTGTGTCTTCTGTCCATCAGGTCACTTTCAAAGGGAGAACCCCTCCTCCCTGATGCACCACAGAAAAGGAAACTCACAGAGCTGTTAACCATGAGGGTCACCTAGCTAGTAAGTGGGGAACCAGAGCACAACCCAGAGATGCCTAAGCCCAGACCCTCTTCTTAGCGTTACATGACTCGTCTACATGAGACACAAGTTTATCTAGAAGCAATTCCCCACCACGGAGGTCCTTCTGAAAAGGAAGACTAGGGCCGCAGGGAAGCTAATGACTCCTTACTTGTATTTTCCCCCCTTTCTCAGTTAAAATGGGGTGGGAGACGTCAACAAAGAAGATAGGACATTGACAACAGTTTGTATTTAGAGACAACAGAATAAATTATTACAAGATGCTTTTCAGAAAGAATGGCAATGTTGGGACCAGCAGTTAGCGTAATGGCTAAGTCGCTGGACTCCCACATAGTCAACAGTGGTTTGCGTCCCAGACCCGGTGGCTTAAACTCGTGCAGGGCACGTGTGCATGCGTGCCCAAGATCCCAAGAGGAGAATGGAGGAGAAGGGATTGTGGCGTGGCCATCCCCCCGGGGGGTGATTTCTTGCTTTCTATCTCTCTGTCTCTGTCTGTCTGGCGAGCACATGCGCCCTATAGCAAAAACCTCTCAAAAAAAAAATGAAAGAATGACAGAACATGAAGTGGAGATGAAGAAACTCATCTTTATGCTTCTAATAGCAACAATATAAAATGAATATGATAGGGACCAGGAGATGGTATAACGTTATGTTGCTGACGCCCACACAGTCAACCACGGTTCGAGTCCCGGACCCAGTGGTTTGAAACGCGCTGCGCGAGTGTGTGTGTGCGCGCACCCAAGATCCCGAGAGGATAATGGAGAAGGGACTATGGTGTGGCCATCCCCCTCTGGGGGTGATTTCTCACTGTCTGTCTGTCTCTCTCGGTCTCTCCAGTAAGCACATGTGACCTGTAGCAAAAATCTCTTTTAAAAACTGAAAATTCTATCAATGGCTTACATTACGGAGTAGCTGCCATGTGCCAACTAATGTGTTAAGGTGCTCGTGCTGCATCATCTCATTAATTCTTAGACCACGTTAGGACAGAAGTATTACCTCCACTGCCCAATGAGAAACCTGAGACTGAGTAAGAGAAGAGCCAGCCCACGGTGGTCCCGTGACTTACATGCCCTCCAGGAGTCGGGATGCTTCAGTGGGAAAGCCAGCCCATTATCGATGGCAGCCACCCTGATGACAGGCTCCTTCACCACCACCCAGTCTGTGTCCTGCAGAGGAAGGAAAGGACAATAATCAGGGAATTCCATCTGCCTCGTGCCCCTTAGAATAGCAGCAAAGCAACCCACCTCAACCCTCACAGACACCAACCCTTACTCAACTTATTTTGTGCTTCCCTCTGAAAGAGTTTCCACCTCGATATCTGAACTTAGGGCACTTTTGATCTGGCTTGTTCAACATTCTCAGGGTCCCTCTCTCATCTCAGAAAAGGTGCACTTCCCTAGGAATTGCCACAATCCTTAGTAAGGAGGATAACAGGGGCTGGTGGGTGGAGTGGCGGTTGGGGCACTGGACTCCCACATGGCTGACAATGGTTCGAGTCTTGGACCTGGCAGCTTGCTTTCTCACTTTCTATTTCTCTCTCTCTCTCTGACTCTGGTCAAATTAAAAAACAAACACACAAAAAAACTCACTAATAATAGTTACATAAATAATTCTTTTTTTAAAAAAAGGCTAATAAAAATAACAGATTTAACTATGAGTCATTCCTTCTAGAAAAAAACAGTGAGAATCCTGAGAGGAGAGAAGAAAAATACGTCAGTGGCCAAAGTCCTTTTGTGTGGACCTTGACTCAGATGCCACGTCACTGATATCGATCACATTTTCAAAAGAAACAGAACCACAGGAAGTAACGGTTGGCTGCTCTTGCATATGAGATTCTGTTCTACTTCAATGATACATAAAACACACAAAGGAAAAGGGCAAGAGGTCAGTGTAAAAAGAGTGGGCAGGGGCAGCCAGTGCTATGGTGGTTAAGGCAGCCCTGTCTCACATGGCTGACTCATGGTTCGAGTCCTGGGCTGGTGGCTTGAAAGACACAACAGACACGTGTGCACACATGCCCAGAATTCCAAGAGGAGAATGAGAAGGGACTGTGGCATGGCCATCCTCTGTGGGGATGCTTTCTGTGGGCAGGTCACCCTGACAGCCATGTGAAGGACACTCATCACCATGAACTCCATGACTCAGGCCCACTGGTGCCTCACAGAAACAGGGACCACATCATAACCCTCTGGGATACCTTATTACACGTGTGGAATCTTGATTCTAGCTCCAGACCTAGTGAATCAATTTCCCCCTTCAGGGAGGGAGGCCTGAAGAATCTGTACTATTTTACATGATCTCTTTGGATGATTTAGGCACAAACTTTGAGTACCACAGTTAAAGAAGTAAATGATGACATGGAATAGAAATCAACCTCACTCTCCTCCAGGTAGGCTTCCTTCTAGTTGTCAAAAATGTGTGAATGCTGGGGCCAGCAGGTGGCGTGGTGGTTAAGAAACTGGATTCCCACATGGTTGACCAAATGTCCTGAAAATCACACCAGGGACGTGTATGTGTGCCCAAATTTGCAAGAAGAGAAGGGATGTAGTATGGCTATCCCCTGGGGGGTTACTTCTCACTTTCTCTTTTACTGTTCCTTTCTGTCCCTTTCTGCCAATTACATGCGCCCTATGGCAAAAACCTTTAAAAAAAAAAAAAAGATGTAAATGTTGAACTGGCTCCATGGCCGAGTGGTTGAGAGCTACATCCTACACGGCTAACTGCACAGTTTGAGTCCCAGCCCCAGCAGTTTGAAATACACATGTGTTTGTGTACATGTCCCCAAAAATCCCAACAGGAGGGAGAAACAGAAGAGAATGGACTACAACGTGACTCTACCCCTTCTCTCTCTGGTCAGCACGTGTGTCTTTTAGCAAATTAAAAATAACGACACTGACAATGACAAAAAGTGTGAATGCATGCGGTGTACACACGTGTGCCCACGATCCCTACACTGAGATGGGGAGGGCCACAGCATGAAGGCCTGCTGGGTGCCTTTCTCTTTTCGTGTCTTTTTCATGGAAGAAATATGCAAACTTTTTTGAAAAATGTGTAAACTGAGCAGCGATGGAGAAGTATGACAGAGAATGGAAGGAAGGAGAGTGTAAAGGAAGTCGCAGGAGCAGCTCTGTCCATGTCTCTGTTCTGTGGCATTATGGCCTATTGTGAGAAAAATGTCCCATGGCTTAGAGTGCAGGAACCACCGGGCCAAATGGAATTACACAGGTTTGTTTAAAGCAGTACCCTCAGACTTTACTACTCCACGATGTGAAGCTCCGAGAAAACTGTGTGTGTACCATGTTCCAGACCGGACCTTTTCTTCATACTATTTCTAACGTCAGTCGTTAGGCTATTTGTTAGTGAAAAAAATCAACCTATCAGTTTTGAACACACATTTCCTTGGTTCTTCTGAACGTATGCAACCTAATCTCTGACCATTTTATGTGTTCTGATATCATGAAGCTACTCCTCGTCATCCCCTTCACGATACAGGGCAGTCTCTTACCCGAGAGCTCAAACTATCCATTGGACAGTCATACTTAATCAGCCAGTTGTCATTGCCTCGATCTGTGGACAGAAATACAAGTTAGTAAGAAAAACTGGGAAGACTTTCAATTTTAGTAATAGTGGTATTTTGGACACTTGGACAACCTTTCTATTACCAAGAACTACTATATAAAAGCTAAGCAAAGGGACCAGCAGAGAGCGTAATGGCTATGTCGCTGGACTCCCATGTAGTTGACCGTGGTTCAAGTCTCAGACCTGGTGGCTTAGACTCACGCCGGGCGCGTGCGCACACGTGCCCAAGATCCTGAGAGGAGAATGGAGGGGAAGGGATTGTGGCGTAGCCTTCCTCCCTGGGGGGCGATTTCTCGCTTTCTGTCTCTGTCTCTCTCAATCTTTCTGGTGACTGCATGCATCCTATAGCTAAAACCGCTCCAAAAATAAATAAATAAATAAATAAATAAATAAATAAATAATAAAAATAAAAGCTAGGTAAAAAAAAATAATCTCTTGAAGGCACTGGAGATTTTTTCTGTAGAGAGGTTTTGGCTATAAGGCACATGCACTCACCAGGGAGACAGAGACAGACAATCAAAATAATCAAGGACACAAAGAGACAAGATTACATGAGTAAAAACACAAAGAAACAACAGAAAATTAAAACAGAAGGCCAACAATGGTATGGTGGTTAGGGTACTGGACTCTAACACAGGCAACCAAGGTTCGAGCCCCAGATCTGGTAGCTTGCTTTCTCACTTTCTCTCTCTCTGATGAGTGCATGTGTCCTATAGCAATTTAAATAATAATAATAATAAAATCAAATTAAATAATTATTTTAAAATTAAAACAGATCTAGAGGGTTCCAAATAATCTTATACAGATTTTTAAATATTCAGATCAGTAGATGGTGTAGCTGTTACGTCACTGGAATTCCCACCTGGCTAACCAAGGTTTGGGCCTCAGACCCAGCAGCTTGAAACACATGCCAGGCACGTGTGTGTGAGTGTGTGTGTGTGTGTGTGTGTGTGTGTGTGTGTGCCCAAAGTCCCAAGAGACTCCTATAGCAAAAATCTCTCTTAAAAAAAATGTTCATTATTGGGACCAGCAGTTGGCATAATGGCTACATCACTGGACTTCCATGTAGTCGACAGCGATTCGAGTCCCAGACCCAGTGGCTTAAACTTACGCTGGGCACGTGTGCATGCGTGCTAAAGATCCTGAGAGGAGAGTGGAGGAGAAGGGATTGTGGCGTGGCCATCCTCCCTGGGAGGTGATTTCTCTCTGTCTCTCTATATTTCTCACGAGTGCACATGTCCTATAGCAAAAACCTCTCTTAAAAATAAATAAATAAGTTCACTATCAGGGACCAGCAGGTGGCATGGATACGCCTCCTTGGCAGACCATGGTTTGAGTCCCAGACTTGGTGGCTTGCTTTTTCACTTTCTCTTTCTCTCTCGTCAAATTAAAATAAATGAATAAAATTAAATTAAAAATAATTTTAGAAAAGATTCACTATAAAATCCTTAATATGTTTAAGAAGATAAAAGACAAGATTAGAATATCAGCAGAGGGACCAGTTGTGGCATAGTGGTTAAGGCACTGGATCCCACATGGTCAACTGTGAAGTTCAAGTCCTGGACCCAGTGGCCTAAAACACATGTTGAGCATGCATATGTGCATGCCCCAAATCCAAAGAAATAGAGAAGAAAGAATTGTGGCATGGCCATCCTCTCTGGGGAGTGCTTTCTCATGTTCACTATCTCTCGCTGTCTCTAGCAAGCACATGCAGCCTACAGCAAAAAATTAAAAAAAACAACATCTCAAAGGATGAGTTTAACAGCAGATCATGCTGAAGAGAAAAAAAATGGTGATTTAGCTGACAGGTCATGGGGCTGGCAGGATGGCATGGTGGTTTAGGGTGCTGGACTCCAACATGGTCGACCATGGTTCAAGTCCTGGACCTGGCGGCTTGCTTTCTCACTTTCCTTCTCTCTCTCTCTAGTCAAATGAAAGTAAATAAATAAATAAATAAAGTTAAACAATTCCAAAAAAAAAAAGGTCACAAAAAAACAGCCAGAATGGGGACCAGCAGTTAGCATAATGGCTATGTAGCTGGACTCCCATGTAGTTGACTGCAGTTCGAGTCCCGGACCCAGTTACTTAAACTCACGCCGGGCGCATGTGTGTGCGTGCCCAAGATCCTGAGAGGAAAATAAAGAAGAAAGGATTGTGGCGTGGCCATCCCCCATAGGGGGTGATTTCTCGCTTTCTGTCTCTCTGTCTCTGTCTTTCTGGCAAGCGCATGCGCCCTATGGCAAAAAACTCTCAAAAAAAAAAAACCCAAAAAACAAAAAACAACAACGAAAAAACACCAGCCAGAATGAAGCACACACAGAGAGAAAAAGGGAGATATGTAATCAATCGCAATATATCTTGGAGGCCCAGAAGGACTGATCCCAGGAGGACTAGAAGATGAACATGGACTATGAGGCTGTGCCAGAATGTAAGCAAGTACTCAGAGAGTGATGGAACATGCTGAAAGGGCAGAGAAGCAAGGTTTTCCTGTTTTTCTTGGCAAAATCTGGGACAATCAGAGTGTCAAAATAAGTACTAACAGGCCCGGCTGCAGTGGTGTAGGCAGTAGGGTGCTGCTGTGTGAGACTGAAGCCATATGAGAAGGCTGTGTTTCAGATCCTGGCCAACCCAGGCACTGAGGGAGCCATGGTCCTAGCTGGCTAGAGCACTGGGGGGGAGGATAGTGGCATGACAGGGCCCTATCGAGAGGCCCTGTCTCTTTCTCTTGCTCTCTCAATAAATAAATTAAAAAAAAAAAAAAAGACAGCGAGTCTATCAAATAAAATAAGAATCTAAGGCTAGGCCGGCAGGTGGCACGGTAGTTAGGAGCACTGGACATAGCTGACTGCAGTTTGAGCCCTGGACCTGGTGGTCTGCTTTCTCACTTTCCCCCTCTCTCTCACTCTGTCCCTCTCTGGTCAAATTTCAATAAATAAGTAAAGTTAAATTATAAAAAACAAATAGGAATCTAGGGCTAGCCCATGGCCTAGTGGTTCAGGGAGCGGGATCTCAACTTGGCTGACCATGTGACTGAAGTCTCAGACCCAGCGGCCTGAAAAACACACCACGTGTGTGTGTGTGTGCCCTACACCCCAAAGGATGGAAAAGTAGAGATGGTATTATGGCATGACCTGCCCCAAGACGGTACGCTTTCTCCCTCTCCCTCTCTCTCTATCCTTCTTCCTGTCTCTGGTAAGCTCACATGCCTTCTGGCAAAACAAAAAAGGGAAGATTCAATACAGCAACAATATATAGTACTAAACATTTATATTCTTAATAGACATCAAAATGTATGAAGCAAAATTGACAGGACTGAAGGGAGAACTAGACAGTAATACAAGCATAGTTGGAGACTTCCAAAGTTTTACTCTCAATAATGGATAGAACTACCAGGCAGAAGGAAGCAGAGGACTCGGAAGCCAGGCTCCTGTGAACCACAAGGTAAGCTGGGCTTGGCCGACGTCACAGAGCATTCCACGACAGCAGCATGTGCACCGTTCTGAAGCGCAATGAGCCATTTTCCAGGACAGAGCACGTGTTAGGCCACAAATTAAGTCTCAATAGAGTCTAAAAGAGCTAACATATAAAGTATGATAATGACATTAGAAATTAATAAAAAAAGGAAAACTGGACAATTCACCGATTTGTGAAAATTAAACAACACGCATAAATGGATCAAAGAAAAAATCAAGGGAAATTAGAAAACACATATAGACAACCAACAAAAACAAAAATTCAGCATACCAAAACTTATGGGACACAGTGAAAGCAGTATTTACAAGAAATTTACAGCTATAAATGCTTACATTAAAAAACAAATATCACAAATCAACAATGTAACTTCACATCTTAAGGAATCAGGAAAAGAACAAACTGGGTTCAGCCAGTGACGTGGCAGCTGGGTCAACTGAATCGCACACGGCTGACTGTGCGTTTTGAGCCTTCGACCTGTAGCTTGAAAAATACACCAGGTGAATATACCTGTGTGCCCAAAATCCCAAAAGGAGAAATGGAAGACAGAATATTGAAATGTGGCCATCCCCCATGGGGGTTGCTTTCTCACTTTCTTTCTGTCTCACTCCCAAAAGTACATATACCCTCTAGAAAATTTTTTTAAAAAGAAAGAAAAAAAACAAACTGAACTCAAAACTAGCAAAAGGAAAGAAACAATTAAGACTAGAGCAGAGATAAATCAAAGAGAATAAACAAATAACAGAAAAAAAAACCAATGAAACTAAAAATTAGCCTTCAAAAAAAAAAAATCAACAAAACTGACAAACCTTTAGCTAGATGTACTAAGGAAAAAAGAGAAGATGCAAATTACTAAAATCAGAACTCAAAGTGGGGATATTACTATTATTCTACAGCAATAAAACAGATTATGAGAATACTATGAACAACTATATCAATAAACTGGATAACCTAGAAGAAACGAACAAGCTCCTAGAAATGCAAAACACACGAGACTAAACCACAAAAATATAGAAAATCTGAACAGACTTGTATTAGTAAGAAAAATGAGTCAGTAACCAAAAATTTCCCAAGAAAAAAAGAACAGAGTGACTTCATTGGTAAATGCTACCAAACATTTCAAGGATAATTGACATGGGTCCTCCTTGAACTTTTCCAAAATACTGAAGATAACTGGCCACTCCCTAACCTATTCTATGAGGTCAGCATTACCCTGAAAACAGAGCCAGGCACTGACATTACACAAATACAGATGAAATCCCTTATAAACCTTCATTTAAAAAATACTAGCACACTGGACTGGGAGGTGACGTGGTGGTTAAAGGCACTGGACTCCCACATGGCTGACTGTGGTTCGAGTCCTGGACCTGGTGGGTTGCTTTCTCACTCCCCACCCCGCTGTCCCTTTCTAATCAAATTAAAAATAAATAAATAAAGTTAAATACAGTGATTCTTTAAAAAAAAATACTACCACACTGAATTCAGAAGCATATTAAAAGAATTACAGACCATGACCA